TTCTTAATATAATGGCTATAAACTCTCGTTTAATAAAAGTCTCGCATTTAATGCCTGTTTGCGATTAAAAAAAAAAAAAAAATAAAATAAAATTATATATATACAATTTTCAAAGAATTAATAAAATTATATATATTATTTTGGTTTATTTTTTATTTTATTTATTTATATTGAAAAAATATCTATATATAAAAAATCTTTTTTCTAGAAAAATAACAGAGCTATCTAGTTTTTCTTATATTTAATAAAGTTTTTTTTTATTAATAATAAATAATATCTTGTTTATAATATAAAAAGTTATATATACAGTTCTTCTTAATAAATAAAGAACTACTTAAGAATTATTATAATTAAATAGAAATAGTTGTCATATATTAAACTTTTTATTTTATCAATAAAAATAACTATTATTAATTAAGTAAACTTGTTTCTTATAATTAATTATATATATGGTTAAATTTTTATTAAATATAAATAAACTTTTATTATTATATTTAATGATTTTTTTCTGAATAAAAATTTTTTAATTTTTTTGTTAAAATTTTGACACCCATATGATTTTTATAATCACTATTTTAACAAGCAATTTTATATTAATAAATTTTGTTTTGCATATGTTAAAGTATTTAAATATTAAGTTTCATAAATTTTTATTTGATAAAATATAAAAAAAAAATTATTTTAACAAAAATTATAAATTTAATATTAAATATTTATTTATATTTAATAAAAACTTTATAGTATATGTATTTTATATTGAATAATAACTTTATTTAGTATATAAAAGTAAGTTTTAATACAAAAAAAATTTTTTTTACATGTAACTACTATTAGTAATTAATTAAAATTAATTAATAATTATAATTAAATATAAAAATTTAATATTTTGTTATTTTAAAAAATTATGCATTTTATTAAATAAAACTTTAAATATTAGGCTAAAACTTATGAAACTTTATATTTAAATACTTTAACATATGCTGAACAAAATTTATTAATATCAAATTGCTTATTAAAACAATAATTATAAAAATTGTATAGGTGTCAAAATTTTAACAAAAAAATTAAAAATTTTCATTCAGAAAAAAATTATTAAATGTAATAATAAAAGTTTATTCAAGTTTAATAAAAATTTAAACATATATAGAATTTATTATGAGAAACAAGTTTACTTAATACATAAAAGTTGATTTTATTAATAAAATAAAAAGTTTAATATATAACAACTATTTTTATTTAATTATAATAATTTTAAGTAGTTCTTTGGGGACTGTATATAATATATAGATATAATAAATAAATGTTATATATAAAAAAAAATCAAAAATACATTTTTATTTTATAACTTTTTAAAATAATTTTACTCAAGATTACTTTGATTTAATGTTTTGATTTTTATAAAAAACAATTTTAGCATACAATATTACTTTTAAATAAGATTTTTACTTTTTTTAAAAACAAAACAAAACAATTAAATAATAAATTAAATAATAATATAATAATTGCAAAAAAAATTTATTTGCAATTGTTTTTCTTTATGGATTTACTATATACTGTATACACAAATATATAGTATATAATATAAATTAATTTTAATTTTTGACATACTCATTTATTTTAAAGAAAAAAAAAAAAGTATGGCAAGCACAAGATAATTAAATTTTATTTATACAAGTTATCATTTTCTGTACATTGTTGACATAGAAAATATGAAGATGTATGTGATACCTTTACAAAAGAAAATTGATTAAATAAAATATAAGTGTGCATATTTTTTAGATGCATATATTATATGATATTTTTATATATAAAAAAATAGATTACTAATAAATTACAAATCATATTTATAAATATATTGTATATTTAATATACAGTATGTATGTTAAATTAAATAATAATAATTGTTAAGTTACAGTATTTCTTTTAACTCTTTGAATCGGAATAAAAATGAAATCTTAAGAAACATGACAATCCACTAATTAATATTGGTTATTAATATTCCTTAATTAAAATAATTTTATTAACCATCGCAACTTCACCTCAGTAAATTTGAACCTCTAAGGATATTATGATTCTTCTATTGTACAATTTTCTCAATTAAAAACATATTAAATTATGCTCGGTGATAAAATTATAAAAATATACGGCCTACAAATGATGATTAAACAAAATATACATACACTGCATATTTTTGTATTAAGATTAAATGAGTATCAAATTATGAAGAATGCCGTAAATTCATTACACATGGTGGAATATCAAGATTATTAATAAATTAATTAATCAATATAATAGAATACGATCCGAGGAACATTAAAAACTAATATTGCAGTATGTATGATATGAAGGAACAGGGGAAAGCATATTATCATCTTCCCTCTCCAAAAACACCATAATGATATTGCTCATCGTCATCATCTTGCAACAACATTTCGTATCTACCTTTTTTCGTGCGTGCGGTTTCGACCGACAGGGTACTCCGTCGTTCCATAATGACGGGGGCTCCACCGGTTTCACCCTCCCAAGGAAGCATAATTTCCTGTCTTCGTCGCTTTCCGCCAAAATGATCGATATTAACTTCAAACCCATTTTCACCCCACCAATAAACGATCAAACTTATTATGCTGATGGCCACCACAACTCCAAACATAACTCTCGGACCACCGGCGGTATCGTACAGCAAACCGCCAATCAAACTTCCAAATCCTGTACCGATTCCAGCATACAAGGCTGTCATCACACCTTGAGAAAATGAAATGAGATTGCTCGGTGCATTGTTTGAGATATGCATGACACCGGATGCCCAAAGAGCAGAAAAACCGATTCCGTTAAGAAATTGTACTAGAAGTGCCATCACGTATGAGAATGTATTTTCTTTTAGAAATATGTACGTGGTGCATCGAATAATGGTCACTATGTGGGCCAGCGAAACCAAGGATACGATTCCAAATCGAGAGATTAACTAATCAAATATTATGAAAAATAATATGAGCCGCATGACAAACCAAGGAAGAAAGAGAAATGTTTATTCGAAGAATTGTGCTTACATCTTTTGAGTAAAAGAAAAATAGCAATTCCGTGGAGGCACTAAATAAACCCGTTAATCCCAAAACCGTTGAACTGGCTTTCAATTCTTGACTAAGGAAAAGTAGTAAGAAAGAATTACTCATGGAAAGTGCTGTTCCCATAAGCAACATGACCGCCAACAATGTTGCCACCGAAGGGTTCCGGAGCAACGTTTTTATCGCCGCAATTGGATTGGTTGAAAGAGATGCGGTGGTTAGATTTGGAGCAGTTGGAGCAAATGCCAAGATATCTAGATCAGGCACCGAAACCGCATCATCATCGTTGTCTTCGTCAAACACCGAAGAATCCTCACCGTCCGATTCCTCAATGTGATCTAAATTGTTAATAGCCTCTGTGTCATAATCTCTATATTTCCTGACAGCATCCCTGGAACTTGATGCCGCAGGTTCATCTTGATCCTCGAGATCAACTAATGGTTTAAAGGCAATATCCTTGGAACGTATGGGTAATTCATCGGAATCTTTGTCCGGGTTAAAGTCAGTTAACAGAGTGCTTATTACAAACAACAAAGAGGTGGCCAAGAAGAAGAAGAATATGATGTTGATGTCCTTCACGGCACTCCACAACAGACCAACTCCTAATGTGCTCGCGCCATATGAAAATGATCCCCAAAGTCGTTGTTGACCTTTCATATCAAAGAAATTAGATTGTTATAACAAGTTTTTTGATATGTTGGCAAATCAATCGAAACCTACCATAAAGTTCCTTCTTGTCACCAAGAATTTTTATCACACCACTATCAACCAGTGCATTAACGGGTATCCCGAAAAAGGCGAACCATATGGCCGTGAATAATACACAACTCATCATGAAGCCTCCGCTGCTTTCTTCCGCAGCAAAACTTGGCAAGAACATCTGACTAAGAACACCCAAGGTCGCCAGACAGTAAATAACAACAATGATTTGTCGGTGCGTTTGATATCTATCAGCCAGTCCGGTCCAAAGGGGGCAGCTTATGGCAGAAATGAAGGGCGCGAGTGAAAATACAATTCCAATCTGCGTCGATGTCAACTTCAAAGAAGCGTTATAAAAAATCGGAAGGTACGGTATTACCGAACCCATGCCTGCGCATAAAAAGATATACAATAATTTTGGAAAGATAAAGGGGATTGAAGAAACTTTTGAAAGTATCTTTGTTGGAAAAAAATTCCGTTGCCATGGATAGCCAAAACTTGTTTCGCGCTGAAAGACCGTTGAACTTTTCCGAAATATCTTAGAAAGCCAATTTGGAGGTGCAAATTGAAGTGTGGTAGACGATTGGTTTCGTTTAGGCCGAGACCTTTTTGATTTATGGTTAGCAAGCATTTTTTTTTAAAACTGATATAGATGCGAGGCTGCTTTTTTAAGCTATTCAGTCAAAATTTGCGCACGTATGTTTTTGTACCACTTTGATCGCATAACACACGTACAAAGATTTTAGATTAAACAAATACGGTATCAAGAGAGATATTATTTGTTCCGGAAGGCTTAATCGAAAACAAAATAAGATTTGTATGTTTTAATTTGCCAATGATTTTATCTTCTCTTGCCTAACTTAATTATATCAAGTTCGCAGTAGATATGAGCCTAGAATTCATATAATAATTTAAGGTGCGCAGTCCTTTGCGACCCACGTGGGTCTCCGTGACCAGTATATCGTATATGAACAGCGCATATATGATCTATACGGTCAATATACCGGAGCAGTCATTCCGGAGGAAAGTAAACCTCCAATCGGCAGGGATTAATTTAATTATCTATACTGGCAATGATAAAAAGGAACCGAATTGTTTGTTTTTGTTTTCGCGTAACAACCGTTCTCGCAGCATATACAGGACATACCAGAAGATCCCGTTGTTTCCCATAAAGGTCATGTGCGATACGAATTAGATTTCTGGCTTTTTTTTCTAATTTGATGTTTGTTATACATCACACATCACACACACCGCTCTTTTACGGGGTGAGTTACGAAAAAAAAAAACTTGTTTGAAAATTTAGAACTGCATTCTCTTTCCCATCACCGCTCGAACAAGATTGTTGTAGCAAACACGTGTAAATCATGATTTAAGTAATTGATTGCAAGATTAAAGTTTAGTGAAAGACAAGCATTTCTACCTGTTCGCCGATTTTTATCTACCCCACGATCAGAGTCTTTAAATAAACATTCAAACCCTTTGCAAATGCTATTGTCATCATGGTGACTATAGTAAAAAAAAAGATTATGTTTCCATTGTTAAAACGGTTGTTTGACCGATGAAACACTTCGGTTTATATGTTATCGCGATTACACGCCTCGCCACTTTTCCTTATAATGAGTTAAATTTTCAGGTCAAGCTAATTGTTAATTCTTATGTAATTCCTCATTGTTCAAATGACCTCCACGCTCGCATGTCAGACTATTATCTCCACACGATGCACACTTGCATATAAAGTCCTTCTCAGAACCTTTCGACGAAATTTTTTAAAAAAGACTTTTGATTGGTCTAAATTAATTTATCACAAATAAACAAATTCACCCCAATTTAGTTTATAAACGATGCATGATTTTATCATCAAATTACGACAAGCGTTAAAAACTTCCCAAAAAGAACATTTATTTTCAAGAGACTGTTGGAAATTGATTGACCACGCGATTTTGCTAACCTCTCAGGTCACCATCTTAACCGTAAATTTTTTAACCTATCATATATTCGGTCCACGGAAACCCTCATGGCCAATTCAATTGACCTTGATGTGCGCCGCAATGAGAGCCCTTACCGAGCACACACATCTCGCCGACGTGGACAAACTACGGAAATTCGTGAATGTCCTCTTTTCCCTGGTCCCATCTGACATCATAATAACACCCGTTTCATTTAGAGTTTCAAATAGATCCCTACCGGGCATACTTAAAGAGCTAGAAGATCTAGAATCTGGCGACGGGGAGATTAGCGGAGAATGGATTGTACCCAAAGATTTGTGGATAAAGATTAACGATGAATATCGTCTGAAAGCCTCTATCCACCGTCACCTTTATACTGATCAAGACGGTACAAAGTGGTCTAAAGAAAAAGTAATTTTGTATATACACGGTGGTGCTTACTATCTCATGTCAGCGAAGACGCACCGAGATTTGAATTATCGACTGTCCAAGACCACGGAAAGAAGGGTTTTTGGTTTGTACCCGCCAAAAGAAATTTTTGGCAATCACATGATACACATGATACTCACGTGAAGAATTTTATAAATCAGCAATAAATTACCGACTGGCACCAGAGGGTCCGTTTCCATGCGGACTCCATGATACAGTGCATTCATTCCTATACTTGACCGATCCAAACGGTTTGGCTATTCAACCTCATAATGTTGTCGTGGCCGGAGACTGTGCTGGCGGTGGACTAGGTAAATCCTCCTATTACAAACATTTTCATTATAAATGTATGGTATGTTGTCGTTGGAATTAAATTTAAAATTTTGTTTGCAAAAAAATCAACAGTTTTAGCAATGCTCTATTACCTTCGTGATAATGGAATGCCCTTACCAGGAGGTGTCGTGTTATTTTCCGTAAGTCGGTTGACCTATGTTTGTTAAGTGCAACGCGAATTATTTTCGAATGCTCAAAAAACATTGCGCGCGAAATGATAGCCATGGGTCGACTTGACTATGTCATGCGCGAGTTGGGACCAGAATCAATCCTACGATTTCTTGTTCAATCTGAAAGAGAATGACAAAATACATCCTGTAAAACTCTATCTGAATCCCTACGAAGAGCGATCGAATTTGGTCAACCATCCCTACGTGTCCCCTTTATTTGGTGATTTGCATGATCTACCTCCGATATTGATTCAATGTGGTGATTCGGAAGTGTTAAGAGATGAAATTTATTTGCTGGCTCACAAAGCTTCCCAAACTGGAACTACATTTGTTCAGCACGAGGTTTACGGAGGTGAGTTGATTTTTTGTGCCTTTCCTTAATTCATATTTCTATGGTATCTTATCCTTCCCAACCTCTCGTATGATTTCTCAAAAATAAAGATATGGTTCACGTATTTCAACTGTTCAATTACTTGGAATCATCCGTGAAAGCCATGGATTCCGTCGGATCCTTTGTCCGCATGGTCATACCGATCCACCAACGAAGTACACTATTCACGCATACAAATAAAAGGTATACACCATCCGAACTAAAATTGTCATCACCATCTGAATCGTTAATGCCCACGGGTCCGCACAAGTGGTCGTTCGCGAACCAAATACCAGTGAGATGCGACAAATCAACTTGCACCAAAGAAGATCAAATAATATTTGATAAAGCACCTTTGTTGATGTATAATTCACACTTCACCTCGGTTCCTCTGAAAACATCCGTTGACGTGTGGCCATCTCAACAACCTGAGTACTTTTCCCCCCAGAATCCGTCGACTCCACCATCTCAATTTGCTCATACTCACATTCAACACAATTATCAATCCACGAGATCTCAACCAACAATAAATCCCCTAAGAAGCTCAGCCTACCCTGACTTAAAACAATTATATTTCGACTATAATGATCACCCTGCTATTAAAACAAATTTTGTCGCAGCAAATGCCACGAACAGCGAAATTATAAACAATGAAAGCGGGATTTCGAGTTTTTGTTGCAGCGACAGCGAATATGATAGTGCCATCGATGAACTTGATTTTGAGGTCGACGGGGAGGATAATGAGGACTGTAGAACACATGGTGATGAAAGAAGTGTTCATAGCGTCGACGTTGGCGTCGGTACTGGTGATCATCTTTAAAAAGAAAACTCCCGCATTATCTTGGTTGTCGTTGAAAGAATAGACTAGACACAGGGCAAAGAAATTTGATAATGCTCCTTTTTGGTAGAACATTTCGTTTATTGTCATATACAATAGGTTGTTATATTATATAAGAACACAGATTGCACTAAGATCATGGGCTAAAAATTGTATATTTTACTAGAAGGTAATCTTGAATCTTTCCAATTCATCCAACCTTTGATATCATCAATATATTAATTGTAATATGTGTCTATACAAAATAGTAAATTCACACTATAGTTGATCAAGGCATGTCATCTAATAATCTGTTAAACCTTCTTCTATATTTCATATCACTCCCAACAATTTGATTCTTTGTAAGAAAGACAAAATTGTACTTTAAGTAAACTCCATATTCTACAATTTAGTTACTGCTATGGTAAAGGCACAATTTACATTTATAACAAATTTAATTTGTTTGTTTCCGTAACAGAGAAGATACACTTGATGTTGTCTCTTGTTTTGTCTCTAAACCCTATTTCTTAAATATTTGCGTTTAATAATTTGGTATAATACATACGCATTTTAAATACACCTCTATTTGCTCAAGTAACATTACCATTTCCCCAACTACACATCAATCTAATCACTAAAAGTGCTAAGGACATGTTCATCAGGATTCACAAGTTCCACCTCGTCAACGAACTTGCTAACCCTTTTCACTCCCTGCTCAATCTTCTTCCCTGCATCAAATATCCTCAAACACTTTAACATCGTCGTTTTCCTCCTTAAATACTCTACAATAATGTCCAAGTGCTCGTCCTTCAAACATTCGCAAAGAGGCAATCCAAAATATTCCAACGGTGATTTACAGTTTTCCAAACATTTTTTCAAAGACGCGGGCTGAAACTTCCACTCTGCCGTAATATTGAGATATTTTAATTTCAAAGGCAATAACTTTCCGATCTCTCCCAAGAACTCATCCACATTTAATCTCCATCCAGAGATGATCAACTTCTCTAGCTGCACACATGCACTGAGCATCTTATAAAGTTGCGAAATCTCATCCCTCTCTGTAAACATTACTGAAACATTTTGTACACTTTCATGGTTGCTCACAATAAAACTGATCACATCCTTTGGTTCTGCATCAGTACGAGTAAAAACAATAGTTTTAATATGCGGCAGTCTTGCATTCATCAGTGGCAGCATTTTTTGTGTGGTGAGATTAACACAATCATCAAATATCAGAGTTTCCAAGTTCTTACAGTTTGCCAGCGAGCTGAGTGATAGATCGTCCTCGAAAAAATCGTTTATCGTTAGTTCGACGTAAGTCAACGATCGGGATTGTGTGTTTAGCGCAAGGACTACATCGGAAATTAAACAATAATATCCGATCAGAGTGAAGCGTTCTAGACCTTTTTGAGCTTCTACTAACATCGCAAGGTATCTACAAAGTTTCATGGATGTATTTCAGATCTCATTTGCTTAGGGAAGATGTTAGTGGTTTGGCTGTTAAAGTATTCCTTTTTTTTCGTGATAACAGAGGTAACTTACCCTCCCATCGGTTCGAAATTGTTAGAATTATAAATATCCAATTTCCTGATATTTTTGCATACTTTAGATAGTGCGCATAACATCTCACTACCGTTATAATTTCCACCGCAGGTGAAATGCTCTAGTTTTGCCAGACACATTTCCGCACCGGGAAGACAAGGTATCAACAGGTAGTCCATCTGAAGTTCCCACGTGTCCATACCTCGAGTATCCATATAGAGGCCATCAAAGCTTGAGCATCGACTCATGAACAATTTACACAACTCCCGGGCGAACAAAAATACCAGCTTGTCGAAGCGATAATCCTTATGAAGACTTAACCATTGGAAAATCGAACAACAGAGACCTCTATAATCGAGAACACGAAGAAAAGTCGCATAGTCGAAATACGGAACTCCACATTTATTCGCAAAATTCAGATCGATTTTATGGGAACTCAAAAGATGCTTTGATTCCTGGGAAAGACACATGATGTAGGTGCGTATCAGTAGGGCGGAAGGTCGACCCAGCAGGGAGAATGGTCGTTTCCAGAGTATCGGTGCCACATGTTTACACCAGTATCGGCTAACAAGAAGAAACGAATGCAAGGTATCTTTATCCTCTACAATGTTGGATATAATATCCTCGATGCATTCTATTGGTAGCGGCGGTGTCATCTTTATTAACAACAATCTAAAATACGTAACTAAATGTTTCGGATTTAACGTATTTAACGTCCAAATATTTGTTAATTGCGATATAATATAGAACGCATTGTGTGACAACTCTGTTTTCGATTGATTTGCACATACACAAGTAGCTCCTAAATTTGTTCTGGTGACGTTAATCAATTTTAAGTACGGTAATTAATATACTGTATTGTATATATGTTTGGACATAAAGATTACATAAAGATTTTTATATTGTATTATTTAAAAAGAATGTTTTAATGATAAATTAAATTTAATACACGACCGATTAAGTATCAAATATCCTTAATATAACCTATTTTCGAATATTAAGCTTAATTATACACAGTATATTATTTAATTTATTTTAAGTACCGTTTTTTTTTTGTTTTTTTTACTATCTGAAAATTTTCAATATATCGGATCTTGTAATATTTACAAATAAAAAAATTACTTATCATTAAACATTATTTATAAGAGATATTCGACTTAAAGATACAGTATATAAGATTCATATAAGCTTTGAATGACCATTTGATAATTTTATATAAATTGTATTAAACGAATTTGATTTGATTCAATTCATATCTGATTTGTGAATTAATTGGATTTAAATTCAATTTTTAATTTTTAATTGAATTAAAGAAAATTGTTATATTAAAAATTAACTATCTTATATTTCTGTAATAATTACATATAAACATATATTGTTGGAACTTTGAAAAGTATCCAACTGGTATTAAAATAATATCAAATGATATTAATTTAAAGTAAATTTAATATACTGTATGTGTTGTAGTTTACTTACAATATATTGCAAAATTTTTTAGAATTTATTATTTATTCATTACTCAAAAATTACTATATAAAAATTAATAAAAAATATATATCAAAATAAAGCTTAAAATTTAGAAATTTTATTGATATATAATTAATAATTAATTCTTTCACTATTATTTTCGATTATTAATTCACATCTCTTTTTTATAAAATTTATAAGATTAATTATAATCCTATTTGGAATTTTTTTCTATTTTTTTATTATAAATTATTTTATTTCTAAAATGCAATGTTGTAATTATAGTACAATATTAAAATTGTATTGCAATTATTTTAATATAACACAATTACATGATTTTGTTACAATTATGCTACAATTATATAATTTGAAACAATTATTTTAATATAATGCAAATATGTGATTTTGTCACAATTATTTTTAATTATAATACATTTATATAATTTATTACAATTATAACATAATATCACAATTATAATACAATATTTCAATTATAATACAATATTTCAATTGTGATACAATATCATAATTGTAATATAATTTTTGATTAATTAATAAATTAATCTATAAAAATTTTTATATAGTTTATATTTTTAATTGTTTGATAATTTAATTTAAACAAAAATTTTATTATTTAAAAACTTTTAATGAAAAAAAAATCCAATGATAAAATTTTTATTCAAATTAAACTATTTGTTACAAATATACTAATTATAAATAATTAAAAATATAAGATATTGTATATAATTTTAATGATTTATAATTGATATCTGGGTAATTATTTTTGAAGGCAACAAAAATGCTAGATATGATTTTTTCGGATCCAACTTTTAAACAATACATATATAGTATAAATTTTAGGATCATGCCAGAAAATTTCCAGTTCACTTTCGAAAATAATCACTCATCTCCATAACCAGTAATTTAATTTAAATAAAAAATTTATTATTTTAAAGTTTTTTATTAAAAAAATTGAATAATAAAACTATTATTAAAGTAAATATTTGTTTGTTTATATAATTATTTTTGTTTTGTAAAATATTAATTATTTTATAAATGTTAAGTTATTATTTTTGATTAAATTGTTAGTATTTATACTTAAAGTTTTTTTTCATTTTATGTCAGAAAATGATGAAATTATTACAATTGCAAATTATTATTTTTATATTTTATATAGAATTTTAAATATATAATTAAAAATTTTCTTTTATTTTTTTTAGATATGATTAAAGTTAAATTGAAAGTTGTATGTAATTAGATTAAGTAAATCTTAACTTGTTAAGTTTATTATATTTGTGAAATTTATTACTAATAAATTATTATAATTTAATTTTATTATAGTTTTTATAATTTTGTTTTTTTTTTGTTAATAGGAGATCAATTGTATACACAAGAAAAAATATATAAAATATTTTCTATAAAAGTATTACACTTGAAACAAAAGTTATCAATATATAAACTGGTGTATTTTTTTTATTTAATTTTGATTTGATAAAAAGTTAACCAACTATAATTTTGATTTTAAAAGTAGATAAAATTTTATATTTGAATTAATTAATTTTTTTTATTTTTTTATTGACTTTTATAGTAATCTCAAGATTATATAAGATTGTGGACTTAAAAAATTAATATTTGACTTAAAAATGTATTAAACATGTTTATATAAAAGTTAATAAAATTTATTTAGTAAATAATGTTAATGATATATTTGTTATTAATTAATAAAAAGATTATATAAATTATAATAAATTAGAAAAGATAAAAGCAGTATTGAAATTAAGTTGTATAGTGAAAATTATTAGATTTTTGATTTATATCAATAAATAGTTAAGTTTTTTTATTTAAATAAATATTAATGTTAGTAATAAGGTAATTATAAGAAATTTTTATTTGTCTGTTTATATATTGTATTTAGATATAATTAAATTTGAAATAATATTTAAATATTATTATATACTAATCCAATCTCAAAAATTAGCATACAACAGAGAACTAATAGCAGGAAGACATTTTATTTAGGACATAATCCTAGTGTAATATGTTATAGTTTATAGAAAAAGCTTACTTAAGATTTCAAAGATTATAAGGCAAGATGCATAACAATTATAATTGTATGAAGACAAATATAATTGTGGTAATTTGTAAAGAACTATTTATTAGATTATTAGAATGGAACTTTTATCCTGCCTATAATTTCAAAAAAAATTGAAGGCTATTTTTATATATGTTGAAGATATAATATTTTTATATATGATAAATATGAGTTATTTAAGATAATAAAAATATAAAAGAAATATTTTATTTGTCAAAATAGTTATTTATATGTATTAATATAGAAATAAATACTTTGGCAAATATAAGTAATTAAAAAAAAATAAAAAAAATAGAAAATATTCTAAAATATTAATAGTACAAAAAACAAAGTACTTAATAATAATTTTTTTTATTTTTTTAACCCGCAATCAGACTGGTGTCGTTTATTTATTAAATCATAGAGAACCATTACATGCACGAGAATATATGCAAAGTACAAATTTCCTCGACCCAGCTCACCCGTCTTAAGCCTAAGCCTCTAGATGTGATTTATGGGAGTGATGCGTTGCTAGCCTGATGGTTAGGATTAAGATCCAATTGTACCATGAGGATTACAGCCTGCAGATCACCTCTACAGTCAC